GGCATGGCTGGACAGGGTGAGTCTTGGTCTCCAGATTCCAAGTCTTTGAACATCCATGGTCCTTGCACTATTGTGGGAAGAGCACGTTGGTTTCCTTGGGGGACCACCCCTCTCCACTAGGTCCCTTGCGTGGACACGGAGCCTGTCTGCTCCTCCACCACTTCCTCCATACAAGGACACTCCCCACCCCTTTCTCTCTTGGCAGTACTGGGGATGGGATCCAGGGCCTCAGGCAGGCTAGGCAAATGCACTGTCCCCAAGCTACATCTCCAGTGTTTTCCATTTGCATTTTTATTTTGAGACATAGTCTCACTAAATTGCCCAGGCTAGTCTTGAATTTGAGATCCTCCTGCCTCAGCCTCCTGAGTAGCTAGGATTATAGGTGTGTAGTATAGACCTGGCAAGAGTGGGTTCTTGGTCCAGGCTGGTAAAGCTACAGAGGTTGCTGTATGGATGGGCATGTGATTTAACTTAGGATAATGAGATTCAGGCCTAGGAGCTGTGCTGGATGTTGGGAGTAGAAGTTCTCACTTTGAGTTGCAACTGTTGAGAGGGAATGGCCACATGAGAAAAGCTGACTGAAGGATGCAGAATGACCTGAGAAACTCTTAAACCCAGTCATACCAGAATCCTAGATATCCCAGAGTTTTTCAAATTTTAAGATCTGATTAATTCCCTTTGTAGCTTTGGTACTCCGTAGCTTCACATCATTCTAGTTGCTGCAGAAATACAGAGAGAAAAAGCTGTGACTAGAAGTTGAGATCATGAATTTTAGTTCCGTCATGAATATCCCAACTACCTAATCTTTCTGGGCCTCTGTTACTCTGCAAAATAGGGCTCATAGTCCTGCTTCTGGAGGCTCTTGACACTTCTGACTTCCAGGTTGAGAACTGTAGCTCAGACCTCTCTCTGCAGTTTTAGACCTACAAATCTAGTTGTCTTCAAGCCTCATAAACAGAACTGATTTTATTTTTCCCCATCGCTTTTCTATTTCATTATTTTTCTTTTTAAGGTATGGTACTCTGGGCTAGAAGTTGCCAACTATTCCTCCACTATCCACTCTTCCTTTCTTCCTCTCTGAGTAATAGAATTTCTCCATTTTAACTGAGCATATGGGTGCTCAAATAAAGACTACATTCCACAGACTCCCTTGCAGCTAGTTATGATCATGTGACCAATTCCAGTCAATGGGATGTGAGCAGAAATGATATGCAACTTCTGGGCCTGGCCCTTAAAAGAGAGGGACAAAAAATAAAAATAAAATAAAAAAGAGAAGCATGACTTCCCTTTTCATGTTACCCCTCTTGCTAGCTAGAATGTGCATACAAGGTGAACTGTGACTCATCTTGCCAGTGAGGGTAGCCCTTGGGGATGGCAGAGAACAGGATTGAAGGAGGTGTGGTTCCTGGTGCTGCTCAGCAGCCTTGGAGCCTGCATGCTCACATCTGGACTTTCAGTGGGGGTAAAGGCAACTTTGGTCTTGTTATTTTGGGTCTCTCTTAGGGTTGCTGGACTTAGCAAATAAAAAATACTAAAATCTTACCTCACAGCTAGAAGACAAAGTGAGATTCTAGAAGAGTAATGAAGATGTCCAGAGAATACACGAGAAGGCAGGTGAGCCTGAGCCTGACTTTCATTCTCTTTCAGATCATCTTACTCCCCCTGAGCCTCAGTTTCTCCTATGTATGATGACTAATTGGATCTGACAGGTGTGACCTTCTATGGGTCTGGTCATTCTAGGGCAGATGCTGAAACTTGGATACCAGTGCGACCAGAGTCCTTCCTATAAACGGGTTAAATGAGCCAGGAGGGGGCCATGATGGACCTGAGAACACGTGTCCCCCCTCATCAGGGCAGTTGCTACTCAGCTCCTGTTGATTGCTGCCACATGGGAATGCAGGATTGCCAGATTTCCTAATTTTTCAAGAAAAGCTGGAAATCAAGATTGTTTTGATCTGTGCAATCCCCTGATTTTAAAATGTTGGCGACAAATTCACATTTTTTTCAAACACTCTAGGGGCCAAACAAAAATATCTGCAGGCTGAATTTGGCTGGTGGCCACCAGTTAGGAATTTTTGTTTTGATACTATTTTCCTTCTTTCCTTCCTTTGCTTAACAAATATTTACTTGACACCTACTAAGTAGGAAGCACCATTCTATGGACTGCATATAAAGCAATGAGCGAAACAGAAAATAAAGTCCCTGTCCTGCAGCTTTACATTCTAAGTGCTTTCATTTCATTTACATTCATTCATTCAACAAATACCGATCGAGCAATTCTGTCTCCTGCATTGTGCTTGGTTGGGAAGACAAACGTTCAAAGTTCCTGCCTTCATGGTGTGTCTAGTCTACAGGGCAGGCAGACACTGCAAAACACAGACATGGGGAGAGATGCAGTTTAGGTGGAAGGAAACAGTTACCAAAGGCTTCTTGGAGGAAGGAACATGAAAAATGAAAACTAAAATTGGGAATGGTGATGAACACCTGCAGTCCCAGCTACTCAGGGAAGATGAAACTGGACAACTGTGTGAGCCCATGAGTTTGAGACCAGCCTTGGCAACATGGCGAGACCGTATCTCGAAAAAAAAAGACAAAAAAAAAAAAAAGAAAAAAAGAGGACCAGGGATTTAGCTCAGTGGTGCTGCCACCTGCCTCACAAGTGCAAGATACTGAGTTCAATCCCTGGTACAACCCCCCCCCCCCCAAAACAACAAAACAACACAAAACCTTGAGCTGAGGATTTAGCTCAGTGGTTCTGCCACCTGCCTCACAAGCGCAAGGTCTCGAGTTTGATCCTTGGTACCAAAACAAAACAAAACACAACAACACAAAACCTTAAAACTTTGAAAAATAAGTACAATTTAACTCTGTAAAAACCCATTCTAGAATATTCTGGGTTATAGCAAAGGGTCCCAGCATGCCTCTCTCCCATGTCTCCTCAGCTGCAGTCATGCCTGTCCATGTGGGGCCTTCTACAGGGAGCACCTAGGATTCCCTACCTTGGGGCTTTCATGGATCAGGCCAGAAGTGCAGGGAGATAGCCCAGAAGAAGCCCTCAGCCCACGACAGAAGTGGACTCTTGGATAACTATCCCAGCTCCCTCAGCTTTTGGGTTCCTCAGCCCGTGTGAGGTCCCACCGCCCACAGCATGGTTCATGCAGCCTCCAACGGCCTCCTTCGTTCCCTGCCCCACTTTCCCACTCTGTACCCTGTGCCTCCAGGGCTCATCTCCCCAGTAATCCACTCACACTCCTCGTCTCAGGATCTATCTCCCAGGAACCCAGCTGAGAAGGGACAGAGCGTGGCTGGTTCAGAACGGCAAACTACCCAGGGCAGGTAGTGGAAATGGGGCTAGAAAGGGGGGGTGACCAGGCTGGCTTGAGTTCTGGCAATGGGGAAGCCACTGGTGCCTTGTTGGCATGCAGCAATGCCACCAAGCTTGTATTCTCAGATGACCTTGCTTAGGGTGCTGTAAGGTACAGGAGTGGAAGTTGGGAGACCAGACAGGAAGCCAAGCTGGAGGTGATAGTGGCTGGGATGGAGAAGAGTGGCTGGCGATGAGAGATGACATGGGAGAGGGACATGGGGCCTGGTAAGGAGCCCTGGACTGTGTCCTTTTCCTGAGGGGGCTCCCAGTTTGGTTTAAGGAGCAGTGGTGGGACACATACATAAAGGGCACACCCAAGGTCACCAGGCCCTACCTGATGCATAAGATATGAGTTGCTGCCCAGAGCTACAGAACTTCACAAGTGGCCATCTCTAAGGACAAGAAGAACAAAGTAATGTGTCCCTGCTGGGTGACTTTACCGGAGTGGACGGGACAACCACAGGACAGCTTGATTTAGTGCACCGGGGTGGCCCCTGGAGAAGCCCACCTGGGGGCGATAGCTACTGTGCCTACTCTGGAGTCTGCACGGCTCTCACCTCTGCCACCATCACCTAAGCCACGCACAGCCCGAACATGCATGCGGGGGTTCCTGCACCACTGCTAGACACATTAATGGCATTCCTACACGGCGAGAAATTTCTGCACCACCAACACCATTTTTATATCCTTTACAATGAAATGGCAGACAATAAATCTATCTTGGTAATTACACATCCAGCTTGTTATGACCCCCATAAAAACCACAAGCAGCTGGAAAAGCCATGAGGTGACGTCAAATCATAGTTCTGGTCTCTAAACAGAAACAAAAATATTTTCCAGGCGCTGGCAAGTCTCAGGGTTCCCACCCGGATGTGGAAGCAGCTGCCTATGGGTCACTCACCTCTGAGCAGATGATCACTAGGCTGTCCTCTTAAGTGCCACCCTCTGCCCCCATGCATCCCCCTAAGGAGACAGCAGATGTCTAGGGTGTCCACCTGTGGTCTGTTAAGGAGTCTTTAGGATGAAATTCCGAGACTCGGCAAGGTTTCGGTTTTAGCAACTCAGTTCATGACTGGACTCTTATGGTGGTATTAAGTCTCTTCCATTCACCCTAAATCAGCCTGGTCTGTAGCCCAGAATTCTAACTGAATTGTTCCCCAACATAATTTGCAAAGCTATCACTAAGACCCATGTTGGAGTCAACAATACCTCCCCCTGGTCCCAGAAAAATGGGAAGGAAGTTGAAATCATTTGCTGTGGATGCTAAGATAACAAGGAAGAAGAAAACCACTTTCCTTCATTTTGTAGCCAGCATTACTGCTGCAGGGCATCCTTGCTCTCTTGGGCAAGAGACCACTGAAAATGATAGGTTTATATGCTACCAAGTACATGGTGGTTGCTTCACATGTTGGAAGAAAAGGCATGGGAGACCATAGAAGGGGAAGCTAATTAAATTTTCACATGTCAAAGGAAAATTCCATAGGCGTTTTCAAACCTGGCATGATCCAAAGGGGCAGCTTTTTCTCGAGAAGCTGCCTCATAATCTGCCACCACAATCCCTAGGACCAACTGGCTGGATCAACAGTCATGTTGAAAAACAAGGAAAAGAGAGAGATACAAAATCGATTCTTACCTTCCCGTATCTGGATGCAAAAGTCCCCGTGAGTAAGGAGTGAAAAATAATTATTGTCTCATCCAAGTCCCACACGAACACACGCTGTGACGAAAGAGAGGGAGAGAATGGAGACAAATGGGCTCGCTTGCATCTGACTTAATGTCTGCAGAAATTAATTCTTTGGAGGAAGAGAAGTCTTGAAGCACATTGTCTGTAAGTTATAAAACACGTGACTCACCAATGCCTTGTGAATCCCCATCCAACCTCATCTATGGAAAGTGCATTCTCATGGCCAATTTTTGGGCTCCTATCAACCCAACAGATGCCAGAACCAAGAAGCCTGTTCTTGCCTTCTACATAAAAACTCAAAAAAGGAGGCATGCAGGCCAAAAACAACAACAAAAACCATATAACTCATCTGACAACATGAAATACTACCATTTTAATTTGCTGCTTACCATAAGCCCAACTTTTTCTGGGCATTTCTGTTTTTAGCAAATCTGGCAATTACCTCCCGAATTCTAAAGAACACACGAATACCTTTACTCATTGATTTGCCAGCAACTTGACAGTATCTTTTGACTGGGCTTTCTGAATGATGAGGGCTTAGCCATGGGAGCCTCCCTTGTTTCTCAGGTACCTTACATTTTTCACACACGTGAACTCCTTTATTACCCATTCCATCAGCTTTGGAATTCTCTCTGGGCTGAAATAGTAAACCCAGGATATAGATCCTGGCCCCCTTCCTCTCCCCTTCCTCCTGCTCTCTCTGATATCTACTGGCTTCAACTTTACTTCTGTCCAGTCAGTAGGGATAGCCTAGTTTGCATGTTTGGTTTTGTTTTGTAACTATAATTAAAACTTCTGTGCTCTGTCTACATGTTGATTTTAATGGTGGGTCATTAGTTAAAAAATATTTACAACTTGTGATCATTCGCCGAAGAGCCAAACTTGCTAACCTTTCACTTTCTCCTCCATGCGTCCAACTTCACAGCCCCAGACCCCCTCAAGGAGAATGCCCCTGCCTCTAAGGTCATAGGTGTTCCTTCAGTCACACTCTGTCCTGATCAAAATAATGCCATATCTCTGTGTAGTCATCAATGAATCACACTTGGCAGGTATAACTTTTTGTTTTTGTTGGAGTTTATTAATTGCTTTTATTTTTTTCTTGTTTAGCAAAAGTGCTTTCATTCCAGTCTCAGATTTAGTCACACTGTCTGTACCAGGGATATGTATCCTCCGTGATAGAATGCTCCATGGAGAGGCTGCCCTCCGCTGCATTTCTGAGCTGGCTCTACTCCTACCTGGATTCCAAGTCTCTCTCTCCCTCATTCCTTTTTTTTAAATTTTTTTTTTATTTTACCTGAGTGTATCCTTAATCTGGTGTTTGTGACTGGGTGCATGAAAAGCAATCTCCCTGAATTCTTGCATATGTGCTAACTTTATTTTCTTCATATTTCTTTGGGTACAGAATTCCAGTTGGAAAACAATGTCCTCTAGATCTTTGAAAGAATTCTCCCATTATCTTCTAGTGGATTTGTGGGTCACTGAGGAAAAATCTGATGTTTCACTGATCCTTAGTCCTTGCAGTTTTGGCTTCTTTTCCAAGAAGGGTCTTTCCTTCTTACCTGGTATCCTTAAGTCCCAGGAGAATATATCTTGTGGTGTGGTATCATAGGTGTGGTCTTTCTTTTCATTCACGCTGTTGACCACTTGAGCATTTTCAGTCTAATGACTTGCATCTTTCTACAGCTTTGAAAATTTTTTAATTTCATCTTTAAATATTATATTTTATTTACCCATTTTATTGTTTTCTCTTTCTGGAATTTCTAACAGTTAAATTAAGCCTTTTGGATTGATATTGCTTCTCCTTTTATTTATTTTTATTATTTTATTTATTTATTTATTTTTTGTGGAACTGGGGATCAAACTCAGGATCTTGTGCTTGCGAGTCAGGCGGCAGCACCGCTGAGCTAAATCCCCGGCCCATTGCTTCTCCTTTTAAACAATATTTTCTATAATTTTGTCTTTTTGATCTGTGTTCTGGGTAATTATTAAACTTTCTCTTCTAGCCTGTTTCTCCATTTAAAAATTATTCATAACTGTTTTTTCTTTTGAATATTCTTTTCCCAATAGCTTCCACTTATTTTATAAATGCAAAATCTCCTTGAATTTTTACAAGAAGACCAATCAGATTTTTTCTAAGTTCTTTTCTGTTTTCTAAATTACTTCATCTCTCATTTGCCCCATTTTTTGGGACTATTTTTCATACTGTTGGTTTCCCTCATTTTCCTGGTGATCATTATTTTTAAGAACAAAGGAGCTTTTTTTCTTTTTTAATCTCTGTGGCTGGTGCTGAAAAGGAGGCAAATACACCTACTTAGTCTGCCACTGTGAACGCGCCCCCTTTTAAAACTCTCGGAGGCCAATGATTATATTTGCACAATGGCATTTGACATGCTTTTAAAAGGAAAGAGGAGTAACTAGAATGAAAAACGCACATTAGCATCTCAGGTTCTCTAGTACAGAGGTTTTTGAAGCAATTAGTAGAAATGAATATTGATTCACGAATTTTTTTTGGTCCAGTTATATTTATGTGCGTGGATGTGCTAGGTCATGACATTAAATGTACTTCTCATTATGGGGTCTTGGTAAAAAACATTTGGAAATCACTGCTTTTCAGGAGTCCGTTTGCAGTTCAATATGCTGCTTTAGTTTATCTGAACTACATGAGCTGAATCAGTGTAACTTAGAAATTTTAGTTAAGGGCTAAGAAAAGCAGTGAGTGTTTTCAGATTTTAGGGCAGGGCCCATTCATTTATCCATTATATCCCCTCCGAAGAAGAAGTTTTGCCTTTCTCCTCCCACCCTAACCCCCGCCCCGAGCCCTGACTATTAGGGGCACATTCCTGGCGCCCTTCTGGAGGTGGCCCTTCTAGGCTGCCACAGTTTGAACCCAAGTGGGTTCCTAACCCTAGAGGGTCAAAGACCTTTTCTGGGGGGAAGTTAAAATTGGGTCTTCGAAAGAAAGTCATTATCTTTGGGTGCCGCTGGTGACCCAGTTTGGCCATATGATCTGAAGGAAAGAGAATCCAAATCATAAAGAGAGAAGAATGGAGGGCCAAAAATGGTTCTGGTTTGTGCCGGGAGTGGGCAGGGTCGGGAGGCTCCGCGGAAAGCTGTGCCGGGGACCAGGGGCTCCAGCCCCTTCCCTCTTGGCAGTGTGTGGGGAGGGAGGGAATAAACGCGTTTCCTGGCCTGGTCTCCCTGGCTGTTGCCAGTGCCTGGTTGACGCTCTCTTGCATCCTGCCCTCGAGCTCTAAGAGGGTCTCTGGATCCGTAGACTAATTTCTGCTTTTTCACTTAAGCAAGCTTCGGTTGGTTTCTGGCACCTGCAGCTGAAGGATTTTAACTAATACACACTCAGAATTTTCCTCCTTTCCACTTTGACATAATTTCTCTCTCATGGGTTTCGGTCATTAACAAAACTGCCAAGACTTAAGAGGTGTGACCCAGGCAAACCCGCCCTGCTGACATTAAGTCCAGAAGAGTAGGACAGCTCACACCTTTCCAATTATTCTCGCCCAGGGGTACTTACTCTGGGACTTAGAAGCAGATGTTTCCAGAATAATAGCGCCCTATAATCTCCAACTTCCATGCCACAACACTCCTGCCTCCTTCCCAGCTTCATGGAAAAATGTCTCTCCAGTCCCACTGTCCCCTACCAGGAGCAGGAGCCCTGTTAGGCTAGTACATTTTTTGTTTTTGGAGAAAATATTAATGTATGTGTTGCTCTCTGAGTTTTCTACAGCTCTGCAACACCACACTGGGAGAAACCCTCAGGAATGTGGGAGAGCAGAGAGCAAAGACAACAACCCAAAGCCAGTTGATTTCTTTCAGCCTTTTGCAAAAGCCTCAGCCCACAGAAGGGATTGTGCAGGGTCTCCTTGATTTGGGAAAGAAGGAGCTTTAAGAACGAGGGTGGGTTTGGTGATGCAAGTTTATAGTCCCAACTACTTGGCGGGCTGAGGTAGGAAGATTGCTTGAGCCCAGGAGTTTGAAGCTGGCCTGGATAGTGAGACTGTATGTTGTTTTAAAGAACCCAAACCTTGAAACAAACAAACAAACAAACAAACTCCAAAACAAGGGAAGCAAGAGCAGAGTACCTTGGTCTGAGAATGGTCCTCAGAGCAGTAGGAACACTTGCTCTGTGGAAGAGCCCTGGGGTAGTAAAGGTGGCTGGTGAACTTTAGCAGGTTGACTAATCATAGGGGACAAGTTTGATGTTTGAAGTGCGTAATACCTATTAGGATAACAGTGCAGACAGCAGCCACCAAAGATACCTGCAGCTGTTCTAGTGAATGTTAGCTAAATACCAAGTGCCTCAATAGTGGACATCCATCCCCCAGCATCTGTCTCTGGTCTTCTGATAAGAGCATCCTGGTTTTTTCCCCTCCTGTGGGCTGTGGGCTGTCTCAGCTGAGCTTTCAATCAAGGGGTAAGCACAGGACCCAAGCCAGGCCCATGGGAGGCTGTCCCCTTGAAACTGACACTGAGCAAAGTGGCCCTAGGATATACAATGGCTTGCTCTTTGGCTAGGCAGGCACCTTAAAGGGTCCCTACATTCCTCAGCACTGCCTTTGGTGCTTCCTTCTAACCTGTCCTTCCTCCCAGGAAGTTCTGTTTGGTTTTCAGCTGGTGTGGGGCATGGAAATCAGCAAGTGGCCGGACTTTCACTGACCGCTGTGGGCTCTGACCTTGGGAAAGGCAGCCGCACTGGACTGTTGAAGCTCTTCTGGTTTCTGAGATCGTTTGAACTCTGAGATCCTCGTGAAAGTTTGGAATGGGAGAAACGATGGCAATGAGATGGAATTTCTTACCACCCTGGTACAGTGGGAACTCGGAGTCAAAATAACATTGACTGTGAGGCAATGATGAAGATGGTATTTCTTCACATATTTGAGCTTGTGGCTCACTTTTGTAGCTGCTGCACAAACTGTATAGGACTACGAGTCGGATGAAGATACATCTGAACTGCCTGGCTTTGACCTAGGGTTGGCCAATGCTATCTGTACCGAGGAACATCCTAGCCAACATATGACTCCTTTTTTTGTGAAGAAGTACAAACCTGTGAATTTGCTCACTTTCTTCCCTTGATAGATAATGGTCAATTATATCTTTTTGGGCATCCATTATGCATATGTCCCCACTAGTATCCTCCCCCATGAAGGCTGCTTTGGGGGGAAATTTCAGTGTCTTACCAGCCATCCTTCATTTGCTTTTTTATAACAAACATTACAGCATCCATCAGTCCACTGGTTCTCGGCCTGGGCTGCACACTGGAATGACCAGGGAGCTTTAAAAATGTGGGTGTCTAGGCCCCACCTTCAGCAGGTCTGATTGGGTCTGGGGTGCAGCTTGAGAATGGATGGTTCTCCAAGTTCTGCAGGTGATTCTGGTATGCACCAGTCTGAAGTCCACTGCCTGAGATGCTAGAACCATAGAAAGGATTTGGGCTGCCTCCAGGGAGGTAAGTTTAACTTTTAAAATTACACCAGAGGATTTTCACTTGGGGCAGGGGCATCTGCACTTTACAAAGCATCATGGGGACTCTGCCATGTTACCAGGGGTAAGAACCTAACTCGGCTGAAGGGCTCTGCCTGTCATTTTCTTTACCAGGGACTCTCAGGGTGTAGACTCCAACCCAGGATGTCAGCATCCCATGGGGAATTGTGACGCCTTGCACTGAATCTGCTGAGTTAGAGGCCCTGAGCGGGGCCAGAAGCCCCCTGAGGATGCTGATACTGCCAAGCTTTGAGATGCACCATCCCTCCTGGCTCCAGGGCTGACTCTTCTATCCTGGTTTCTCAACAGTGCTCCAGTGTGACCAGCCTGACTCTTCCCAGCTTTCCCTTCCAGTGGTCCTTTCCTGGTGACCAGGCTTTGTGAACAGCTCTGCCCGTGCCCCTTGCTTGGACCACACACAGAGTTCACCAATCAACACAGGCCCTTGGGATTAATCACCTCGATCTCATTGTCGCCTGCTGGGGACGGGTCGCTGCTCCTCTTTGACCTGCCCCGGAGCTTCCCGTCGGGGGCCCGATGTGGCCTGTCTGTGTCCCCCTCTTTGGCTGGTGTGGAGGGTCCATTGTGTGTGTTGTAGTCACCTGGAGCATGAAAGGGAACAGGGGACAAATCAGAAGCTCTGCTTCTAGGAACTGTCACACGAGCTCCGTCTAAGGTGTGACACCAGCCTTGTCTAACTCTAGAAGGGAGGCCCAAGACCAAGATCATGGAATTGAAACTGCCCTTCAGTTGCTCAGTCAGAACACTTGTTCATGATCTTGCATCGTCCAACACATGTTTGTAAAGCAGACAGCGGGGGACACATCCTGGTGTCCTTGGACAATTGCCTAACTCCCCCATGGGAGCAGAACTGCATTCTCCCTGTTCTGATCCCAATGCCCTCACTGAAGTTGTGCTGTTCTTTAAGCACATAAATTTAAATGCGTGGATTTTTATTTCTCTATTTTCTAGACAGGGTCTGGCTGTGTAGTTAGGCTGGCCTTGAACTTTTAGTGATCCTTCTGCCTCGGCCTCCCCAGTGCTAGATTTACAACATGCGCCACCACACCTGGCTTAAATAGATGGATTTTTATTACATTACCATCTTTGTTTAGCTAATGAGGCTTAGTAAGGTGACTGGATTTGCCTGCTATGTCCTACAAATAAATTAGTGCCACATTTGGTTCTGTCCTTGTCACTGAAGAGTGACAAAACTGTGAGCCAGCAGGAGGCTTCGAGGGCATCCAATCCCACTTTCTTACTTTCCAATTGCTTGTTTTAGCTCCCAAGTGTATCCCACAGCCGCCACCTCTCCTGTCGTAATCTCCAGTTTGGGGATCGTTGGCGGGGAAATGCCTTTGTCTAAAAGTACTTGGCAAAGGACAGCTTCTTTTTCCTCTGCTGGAAGGACTATTTCCCCCCCAAACCCGAGGGATTCAACTGTATTTATTTAATATCTATGAAACTTCTCAGCAGGCTAAGGACATAATAAGAAGAGATGTGATTTCTGAGTTGTCAGGATGGCTAAGCATTCTCCAACTTTCCAGCCGTTTAGAGCTCACCATTCCCAAGCAGTGAGCCGGCAGACACTCTCTTCGGGAGAAAGAATTTCTCCTCGACTCGCAGAGGCTGGACAACAACGCACCGAGGTCCACCCTGATCCACTTGGTCATTTAAGGGTAGTGGGACTTAGAGATCATTTGGTGCCCTTTGTTAAAGTCCAGGCAAATATTTTCAAAAGGGGCAAAGCCTCAGCGAGATGTCTGTCTGCTCTGGTCAGCACAATTGTGTTGAGATTCTGTCCTGGTTGTGTGTATCAAGAGCTCATCCCTTTGTGACCTGTGAACATCTCCAGTTATTAATGCCTTTTCCAACTTCAGTTGGCAGTTTTCATGGAGTGTAAATCTTCTACCTCTTCTGTCAAATTTAACCTTATATATTTCATATGTTTTGATGCTATTGTAAATGGCATTTAAATATATTCTATTTCCCACTGTTTGTTGCTAGTACATGGACATAGGAGTTTTATATATTCATCTAATGCTCCACAACACCTTGGCTTTTAGAACTTTTTAGTTTTAGTGGCTTTTTTGTGAACTCCATGAGATTTTCTACACAGGTGGTCAGGTCATTTTATTTCATGAAAGTTTGGGTTTTTTGTTATATAAAAGATTTGAGGGGGTTGGGGATCTAGCTCAGTGGTAGATGGGATGCCTACTATATGTGAGGCTCTGGGTTCGATCCCTCTTACTGCAAAAATAAAAAAAAAAAAAAAAGAAAAACAAATAAACAAAAAAAGAACCACCAAAAGATTAAGTCAATCTAAGTATATTCTTTTATTTTTTTTTTGGTACCGGGGCTCAAACTCGGGACCTTGCACTTACGAGGCAGGTGGTGGAACCACAGAGCTAAATCCCTGGCCCTACCTAATTATATTCTTAGGTGAAAAGAATTATATTTAATTACCTAAGTTAAAGTGAGTTCTTAAATATATTTTCATAGCCATTATTTATAAATGCACATCACTTAATAACTTGCAAAGCACATAGTTTTTGCAGTCTTCATCAACCCTGTTGAACGGTTAAGACAGATAATGAAGATTTTAAAAAAACTGACCAATAAAAATTATATATTTGAGTGTATAACATGATGTTCTGATATATATGTATACTGGAGCAACTAAAATCACTTTAACATATCTGTTACTTCATATACTTATCTGTTTTTGTGGTAAGAACACATAAAATCTACTTTCTTCTTTGGGGGAAAAATCCTTTTACATTGTTGGTAAGGATGTAAACTAGTAGACTATAATGTTAAGTGAAATAAATCAGACACATTAGCTTAACTATCACATGGTTTCTCTTATATGAGAAACCCAAGGTATAAATAATTTAAAGAGCTAAATAAAGGAGAGATAATAGGAAACAGGGAGATGGATCTTCAGCAAATGGGAAGAGGACCAAGAGATGGAGGGAGCGAAGCGAAGGGAAGGGTTAGAAAAAGACTGAAGATGTGTTATGTACATGTGCCAGCTCCTCATGATGAATGTAACTGTCATGTACAGCAAACCTGTACTAAAAAATTTAAAAATTAACCTACTTTTTAGCAATATCAAGTATTCAATACATTGCTATTAACTATAGTTACCATATTGCAATTTATTCCTCCTATTAAACTGAAATATTTTATCTTTTGACTGACATTTTCCTGGGGCCCCCCACCTCACCCTCAGGTAAACACCATTCCACTCTGCCCTATGGATTCCACATTTTTTAGAGTCTCTATACGAGTGAGATCATGCAGTATTCTTTTTAAACACAGATGCTTTTAGTTTCTTTTTCTTGTCTTATTGTACTAGCTAGAGCCTCTAGAACAATGTAATAGAAGTGGTAAAAGTGGACCTCTTTGTCTTAGTTTTGATCTTGGGGATGGTTGTGGGTTTTTGGTAGCTATTTGGTCTTCTGTAATAAAAATACCACAGACTGCGTGCTTAAATGATAGCAGTTTATTTTTCATGGTTCCAGAGGCTGAAAGTCTGAGATCAAGGTGCCAGTTGATCCAGTTTCTGGCAAGGGCTCTCTTTTTGGCTTGTCAGCAGATGTGTTCTTGCTATATCATTGCATGGCAGATGGAGATCATTTCTGCCTTCTCTTCTAATAAAGGCACTAATCCCATTCTCCAGGGTGTCACCCTCATGACCTACCCCCCCCCCCCCCCCCCCCCCCCCGTAGCATCACATTGATGATTAGAGCTTCATTTATGATTCATTCATTGGGAAGTGGTAGAGGCCAAATATTTAGTCCACAACATGTGATTTTCTAATAAAAGAAGTTCTCCTTTACCTTCTGCTCTTAGTTTGGAGTTTGGGAACAGATGATGGACTTTTTAAATACTTTTTTTGGGTATTTATTGATATAATCTGCAATTGGTTAATACTGAGAATAATATAAATTGAATTTCCAATTTTAAACCAACTTTGCATCCCTGGGGTGATCCCCACTTGGTTGTGATGTATTAGCCTTTTAAATATGTTTTTGGGCTTAATTTGCTACCATCTTCCTTAGAAATTTTTTTTTCCTTAGAAATTTTGTATCTATACATATTGGCATATTGGCCCATAGTTTTCATATAATGTTTTTGTCTGGTTCTGGTATCAGGACAATGCTAGCCTTATGGGATGAGTTGGGTGGAAGATTAGGTCTTTAGTTCGTATTCTTTCTTCTTTTTTAACTTAGGCATTTAGTGCTATAAACTTCTCTTTAAGTTCTACTTTCATGACATTCCATAAATTTTGGTATGTTATGGTTTTATTTTCACTCAGTTTGAAGTACTATTTAATTTCTCCTTTGATCTATGTGTTAGGCAGAAGTATGTTATTTAGTTTTCTAATATTGGGAATTTTCCAGAAATATCTGTTATTTATTACTCATTTAATTTCACTGTTGTCAGAGAACATACTTTGTGAGTCTTGAATCCTTTTAAATGGACTAAGACTTGTTTTATGCTCCAGAATGAGTCCATCTTGGCAAATATCCCATTTGATATATCCCACTCATGTTCTTGAAAGGAATGTGTATTTTCTGCTGTTGGGTGGAGCTTCCTATAGTCTGTTACCTGTAGTCTTTTCTTTTTATTCCAGATCCTGTTTTCCCTTCCAGAGAAAATGACTGTTAGCTGTTGCTTTTGCATTTTCCCAGAAATTTTCTATGCAAATATAGTACAGTGTCTTAGCCCCTTTCTCGTTGCTGGGACACAATACTTGACACCCACAACTTAAGAGAAGTTTTGGCTCATTGGTACAGTCCATGGTGGCCTGGCTCCAAGGCACAAATGGCATGGCAGAGGGGCACAGTAGGGGAAAGCTGGTCACATCTTGGTGGCCAGGAAGCAGAGAGGAGTTGGGAGGAAGACAGCCTTCCAGGTCACGCACCCAGTGACCAGCCTCTTCCGGCCAGGCTTTACCCCTAACAGGAAGTCAGCTATAGCAGCCCCACAATCCAATCACCTTGCAAAAGCCATGCCTCTTAAGGACACAAGGCCTTGAGGGACCCTCTCCATCTAAAGCATAACATATAGGTATCAACCTAGACTTAAGTAAGGGGCAGGCTCATCTTTTACTTGAAGCAGTGCCTCTTGCTTTTCCATCACTGTGTTCTACCCCTGGCTCTCTGCATCACTCTTTTTAATGGCTGTATAGCCTCCCACTGGCAGAGGCACCATCATATATTTGACCTGGCTCCTGCCAGTGGATATCCAGGTTGTTCCTGTCTCTTGCTATGATGATGCTACCATAAATATTATTTCTAAGTGTTTGTGTCTTCACAAAAGTTTATAAATTCTTAGATGCAGAGTAGTTGGGTTAAAGGGTGCATGCATTTTTAATTTTGTTACATGTTGCCCAATTGTATGCAAGAGTCTTCTAAGTTCTTCTTGAGAGATTAAAACATTCTCCTTCTGCTGGCTGAGGGAGATGATCTAAAAAGTTTTAAAAAATCCTCCAGCTTCTTTTCAGGGAACTTGCATACACTTAAACATGCAAAAAAGAGCAAAGTCTTAAGCAGTGACTACTGGTGTTTTTTTCTCTTGAGCGATGAAAGATGTTCAGAGTTGGCCCTCTGTGCCAGCAAACTGCCCTGCTGTCATCTGCACACTGGGGACTCATGCTGATGCTGGTATTTGTCAATGCAGCATCCTGTGAGGGGCATCGGGGTGAGTGAGGACAGCATCAAGATCCCCTCTCCAGCCGACGCATAGTGTGAGGGCTCTGCCTGTCTTAGTGCACATGTACCACGCCAGCCTCTGCAGCTTGGAAGTGCTCACTCGACAATATCCAGGATCACTTCAAAAGTGGACTTTTTATGGGAAACTTTAAAAGTGGGCATAAGTGTGCATGTGTATGTGTGTGTGCTGCACACACATGCTCTTCCCTTATAACAGACACTGGGGGAAAGAGGCCAGAGACCTCTGTTAGAACAGACAATTATTTATGTCTCTAGATTTTATTAGACATCCAGTAAAAGCCATCTCGACCACCTATGGTTGGCCCTTAGACCAAGGGATAAATGAAGAACAGGGGGAAATAATAAAGAAACATTTCAAAGAGACACAATGAGCCCTTATGCCTGTTCCTGATGGGAGCAAAGATGACCTTGGCACATAACCCGCATTCCTGGAAGGAGGTCTTTGGAGGCCTGTTCACCCTTGGGTTACGGGTGCTACTCAAAGTGCTCCTGCTCACAGCTCTGTTCTGCCCTACTTTCTCAGGAGGTTTTTGTTCTTCTCCTTTTCTGAATCCAGTCTGCAGAAGCTATATTCTGAAAAGCAAGTTGGCCAAAGATGATTCAGGATTATGAAGAAAGTTTTGGTAGACTTCATATTCTTCAAAGAAAGCAATTTACAAGTTGTTAAATATGTCCTGTGTGCTCATAAATACTCTGGATTGGAGTCACAATGACCAAAGTCAATGCTTAAACCCTAAACTTTCTCAAAAGTTGACTTAAAAATGCACGGCCATGGCGTCTCCGTTTGTCATCAAATCAAAAACACCCCCTCTCAATGGAATCAGTAGCCACACCAAGAACTGTAGGAGCAAAAGAAGTGGGTCTTACCTATTGTTCTTTTTCTAACCATTGGCCAATAAACTGAATGGACATCTAGGCCCCATTAGGCCAGTTTAGCTTCCACAAAGCCGCAGGGTGTTAGTTGATGCCAGAAAAGAAGACAAATGAACAAGTCTCAGCGACACCACTTTGCATCTGCATATTCTGGTCACTGCTGCCATGTGATGTACTTTTGACAAGCACACAGCATCTCATAAGAGAGAAGCCATGTGCCTTGTGGGTCTGCAGAGGGAACGGGCGGCTCCACAGGATGGGGAGTCAGTTGCACAGGCGGTACCTACCGAGGTCTGTGACTGCAGAGGGGCCAGGACATGGGCTCTACAGCATGAGCTGCTTGCCATCCGGGTGTGAATCGTTGCGTGGCTGTGAGCCTCTCTTGTTTTTGTTAACCTGGTGTCTCTTCTGTCACCTGGTTACGGTGCTTAGGCTTCTTTGGGGACTTGCCCTTTCCTTCATCTCTAGTCCATGAGGTTTGGATGGAGTGGCCCCAACTCCAGCTCCAGCTGTGGGCGAGACCTGTGTGCTGTTCCATCCCTGCCTTCCACTCCGCTGGCTGCAGAGATGGTTCAGGGATGGGCAGTGACCCAAGCTGGGCCAAGGGGAGCATGCGGGGTGCTTGGAGGAAGTGTCAGGAAGAAGTCCCTCTGCAGGGGTGGATTCGGGGGAGGACTGAGTCCTTCGTGTCTGGTCACCATCCTGGCCATCCGAGGGGAGGAGCCTACTGGAGAGGGACATGAGCCCAGGAGACCACAGAGCCGGAAGGAAGAGAGACTGAGGTCTTGGGCCTAGACTGACCCATGTGCATCTTGGTTACATGCACCTATAAATAATTCTTCCTCTTCCTTTTTCTCTTCCTTCTCCTCCTTCTTCATCTTCTCCTTCCTCCTCTTCCTTTTTTCCTTCCCCTCTTTTTCTCCTCTGACTTCTTCTTTTGCTTAAACTAGATTTTCTATCTTCTGAAGCCAAACAGTCCTGGCTAATATGTGGGGTGGGGAATGGGTTTCTGAAGATTGAGCTGTGAGAAATGGACACACTTAAGGATTGGGTGAAGGAGCCTGGAATTCCTGAGGCCCCAAGTCACAATATCTGAACCCCTCTTAGAGAATCAAAAAGGCCTTCTGTCCTTGGTGAAGTGCAGATGACATATTCTCAACTGTGCATGGCCAGTGAGCAGCATGAGCACTGGTTACAGAGTCTAACAGGCCCAGGTTCAAGCCCGGTGCCACCAGTTCGTAGCAAGTTACTTAGCATTTCGATCTTGGAAAAAGGTGGTGTGTAATGGAAAACCTGCCTTCCTGAGAATTATGGCTTTCCTTATCACAGATGTTTGTGAAAATACATTTGTGTGATTATTTGAAACTGAGGGGTACTTGGAAAACAGTAGGTGCTGAAAATTATTTGTTAGTAAGTATAAAATAAGTCATTAAAGGAGACCTCAGAGGTATGTGCTTGACACATAACAGAGGAGCATTTAAAATGAGCTTCCTTTCCTTTTGGACCAGGGCTCACAAACTCCAAGGCCTACATGGGCTGGGCAGCTCATGAACTTGAGGTGAGCTGGTGGGATGTGGAATCCTGTGTGTCCTTTCTAAATGGGGTAAATGGATTTAGTATCAGTAGTTTTGTTCCTTGGGATGTGGCTAGAGTGGCAGGATCTTGCAAGAGAAGCCAGAAATGAGAATTTTTAGGTAAAACCTTTTTCTTTTAAACATGAATGCAATCACACACACACACACACACACGTGCGCGCGCAGACACACAGAGACAGAGAGAAGTCAGTGCACACGTGGGGGATGCATTCAGCCCCTGGGGAAGCAGTTCACTCCAGGTGAAACCTATGTTCAGATCCTTTCCTTCCTTGTGCAGGAGCTCAGACCCCAGCCATGACTGCCTAGCAAAGGTGACCGCACATATATACCAGCCAGTGGCTTGGAACTCGGGGTCTCTTATATGATAAACCCAAAGGAGAAATTTAAAGAGCCAAATAAAAGAGGAAAAATAGGGAACAAGGAGACAGACCTTTTGCAAATGTCAAGGGGCCAAGAGATGGAGGGAGGCGAGGGGAAGGAAAGTAAAAGTATTTAAGATGGGTAATGTATTGTACCAACTCCCCACAATGAATACAATCATGTACTGCAAACATGCAGTAATAAATATAAAAAATTAAATAAGAAATACGTACCGGCCAGCGGCTCAGAGGTCTGGCTGGGGATGCTGTGGGGTGCCTCTTGGAGGACAAAGGTAGATGTGGAGAGGGGCGAAGGGCAGATGCTGCTGGCGGGGACGTAAGGAGGGTTGTAGGACGAGCTGTAATACTGGGGGTACTGGCTCTGAGGGAAGCCAGGGTAGGAAGGATAGTCCTGGGAAGAGAAAAAAACAACAAAATCCCCCAAGAATATGAGTGAGGAAGCCTGTCTGGGCTGGGGCCCCATGACCCAGGCCCTCCATCCCTCTCCCCCATTAGAATAAAAACTCCCAGGGCAGGTGCTGCCTACAGTTTGGTCTTCCCAGCAGCAGGCAGAGACAGGGACTCAAGTGCAGGAGTGTATCTGGAAAGTGAAGGAGACAGCAGGAGGGGAGAGGGAACTGAGGCCGCCGAGGGAGGAAGGCAAGACAGCTCTGCCTGAGGTGGCTTCTCCAGTGGGTAAGCAGGGACGCTGGCACGGGGAACAGCTGAGATGTGTACAACGCCCATCTCAGACTTGCCTCTCCAAGGGTGCTTACACATCAGCTGTCTTGCCAGGTCTCCCAGAAGGCTTAGTTCTCCAGCACTTCCTGTTTACTCTTTGCTGGAGGTTAGCAGGTGGCCCCAAAGAGTGAAGGCATGGCTTTGAGGGTGTCCTGGTTACTGTTGTGTCCCCAGGACCTGGCACATACAGTAACTCACTAGATACTGAACAGATGGAGCAATGAAGACCACACATCCCCAGGAGACCAGGAAGGTCTGGAACCTTCTATGAGGGACTATCAGACCAATCCAATGGATGCCGGGCACCTTCCATCAAGCCTTGCTTAAACTGGCCAGACATTCTGGCTCTCCCCTGAAGAGTAATCGCTGCAAAAAATCCTGCCATCCTGTAAACCAGCACGGCTCCACTCTGCAGAATGCACTGGCAGTTTGGCACCCTGGCCTCGGCCCAGATCCAGTGAGCCAGGATTTCTGGACAGTCTGTGTTTTTGATATGTTTGTATGGTGAAATGGATAAGTGCCCAAGGATATGAATTGCACCTTAAAAAGTACCATTTTGCCAGGTGTGGTGGCGCATGCCTGTAATCCCAGCACTTGGGAGGCAGAGGCAGGAGGATCACCTTGAGTTCAAGGCCAGCCTGAGCTACATAGCAAGTTCCAAGCTGGCCTAAGCTACATAGTGAATTCAAGGCCAGCCTGAACTACATAGTGAGACTGTCTCAAAAAAAAAAGTACTGTTGTGCTTAGAAGTATTTCTGTCGATGCATGTAGATCACTGGAAATATATGAAAATAACAATTTCTGCATTTTCCAAGTTTTAGTTATTCAGATTCTTCAGCTCACTGAAGAAGAACTAGTGCCTCCTTATATTTAAATGTGTTGGGTCGGGGATTTAGCTCAGTGGTTTTGCTGCCTGTTGCGCAAGTGCAAGGATCCGAGTTTGATCCCCGGTACCAAAAAAAAAAAAAAGCTTAAATGTGTTAAAAGCCCATCTAGCCTGGGGGTAGTTTTGTTTGAACACTAGACTGAAAGCATGTTAATTGTTTGTTTTGACATAACCCAGAGTTCCTGTCCACCCGTTAGTTAGTTCTCAAATTGACTCTGTAAAGAAACCAAGGCATCACCACGGTAGCCAGCCCTTATCTTTGTGGGGTGGCCCTGGTCTGGTTTAGTGAGCATTTATGAAGCAGCTACTGTGAGTGCAGCCTTTGGCTTTTTGGATGCAGAGGGAGCAGATGTGCGTGCATCCTGCAAGGCTCAGGGTCTGGGCAGAGCACACATCTTTGCACTCATGGTCCAGACTCACAGGTTGTGGGGTCTGGGGCTCAGGTCAGGATGAACACACATCACCATGATGCCTTGGAAGTCCAGTGAGATCTTTCCAGTGGCCTTTGGCACAGCCTGGATCTTGTAGCCTCTGAACCCAAAGACCAAGAGGTCGGGTTTTTGGTGGGCATTGTGCATATGAGTGGGCTCTCTGGTGCCTTGATCAGAGGGGGCTATCTAAGGAAATGCTGAGGAGAGAACTGGCAGGGAGCGGCATGTACCTGGTGCACTGTCCCGAATCCGGCTGTGTTGGTCAGTCCGTTCGCCCCTTGGTAGAGCCCAGCTGTGCCTGCAGGAAGAAGGAACAGACGGAGGGTTAGGTTTCTTACTGTGGTAGGGAGGGACATAAAGGGGAAAGAGGCAGTGGCAAGGTGGGGTCTTTGAGATCTGAGGCTGTGACAGAACCCATGACTTTGCTTAGCAAATCTTTGTGACCCTCAGTTTCTCCAATAAATGAGGAAAGTAAGTAGCATCTATTTGGAAGAGTATGGTGAGAAATAAATGAGTTGTGCATACAACAAACTCATCAATGAATTATTTATTTAAAAAAAATTGTAGTAAAATCCATACAGTGCAATATTTACCATCTTAACTATTTTAAGCAGTGGCATTAAGTGCATTTACATTGTTGTGCAACCACCACCAGGATCCGTCTCCAGAACTTCTTCATCTTGTAGAATTAGAACTCTCTCCCCATTAAACAACTCCCTTGGCCCTGTCTCCTGGCCACAGCCATCCTCCTTCCCAGCCATGAGGATCTGACAGTCTAGAAACCTCATATAAGTGGAACCATGTGGCATTTATCTTTCTGTGAGTGGCTTACTTCACTTAGTGCGGTGTCTTTAAGGTTCACTCAGGTTGCGGCATGTTAGAATTTCCTTTCCTTTTAAGGGCAATTTTCCACATTTTGTGTATCCACTCACGAGTCGACGGACATTTGGATCATTCCTACTTGTTGGGTATTGAGAATAATGCTTCTCTGAACACGGTATAAGGATACTTCGTTTTTTTTAAAGGGTGCAAAGCTGCTCCTGCCTGTCGGGTTTATGCTGCCAACAGTAGAATATCTTCATTTATTTAATTTTTTTGGTGCTGGGGACAGAACCTGGGGCCTTTGGTATGCTGAGTATGTCCTTCCCCAGCCCCCACAGCTACTGTATTGTAATGGGTAGGAGAAATTATGGGTTGCAAATTTAAATTCCCCGGTTACTGACATCTAACTTCTGCTACGCATCAAACATCTGTTTAAGACACCAGCGGTCCCTCCTGCCTACAAAATAAGCATGTGCGCACACGACATACGATCGAAGATGTGTGTGCCACTGTGTTACATGGAGACGCTAACCCAAGACCTCCCTGCGTGCTCAGCCAGCTCCAAAGCCACGCGTGCATGAAAATAAAGACTCGGAGAACCCTAGTTACCATGCACTACAAACACGTTCCTTCGCTCTAGTATCTTTAGCCTAGTCTTTCTGCTAGGAAATAACTTTTAAAAAGATCTTTTAAAGCAGCAGTCAGAAACTGTTCTTCTAACAGGTAATGTTGCTGTGCTATCATGTTGTGGATTTAAATAAGTTTGGCCGTTTCTTTCTTATTTCTTTGTAAGTGCAGCGGGTTTCCGTATCGCTTCACGGCATCTCCGTCCTTCCAGTCCTAGGGGATGTACAGATCGCTGTCCTGCAGCACGGAGTAGAAGTGGGGCACGCACAAATCCATGCTGCGCAGGGCGGGCCGCGGGAGCAAGGCGAGCCGTTCGCAGCAGGCCACCATCTGCCGGGTGGAGACGCTGGGCTCCTTGTATAGCTTCTCCAGGGTGAACGGCTTGGTGGAGGCGCGGATCAGCTCATCTTCAGCAATCTTCAACTGTTCCTTTCTCTTCAAGTTTTCTCTTGCCTGCTGGGCTTTGGTGCGAATAAACCACTGCAGATTTTCTGGGTCACAGAGCGTTGGGATGTTAAAAGGCCCGAGTTCATGAAGGCTTGGCGCGTACCTGTCACTGTTAAGGATCATCTGTAAGCCCCGGAGACTCTGAGGGTGGAAGGGTACTCTGCTTTTCAGCAGTCGGTTATAGAACGCGTGGAGGAGAGAGTACTACTCTTCAAGGGTTAACAGTGGCTGCAGTTCTTCAATATAAACAATTTGGATGCCCCCTAAAAGCCCGCTTATTTGGTCTCCTAAAAGCATCAGCTTTCTCCAGAGGTCAAAATAACTTGGTAACCTTTCAAAGCTTGGTCCAGTGGTGGTGGACGTCCATGGTCCCCAGCATCCCATGGCCCACGGCGCTCACCCCTGAGCAGTCCGTGAAGATGAGTGTGCAGCCTCTGGCTTTCTGCAGGGTCCCGAGTCCTGCACGAGGCGGCCTCAACTGTGTAGATGACTGCAGTGGTGTGCGACCCCCCAGCTCCTCTGCCACCTTTTATCTGAGAGTTGCAATAGGTCAGACAGTTCCTCTTTTAAACGATCTAGTTCTTTTCTAAGTGGCAAACTATTCTTCAGCTTTTCAACAGCCATTTTCCCATTGGTATGCAACCAGGATGTATTAGGGTGGTTTCCCATCTCGAGGCTTGCTCAAGGTCTTGGTCAGGGTCCTTGACTTGTCCCATTTGATGGGCCTATCGGGGGTCTGTTTAGCTTCTCTGAGAGGCTGGGAATGCACATTAGTGTTCAAGCTTTGGATGTGATCCACAGATAAACGGAAGAATTACAGGATTCCTGGCCATCCGAGGAAGTCCGGTCCATTTCTCTCACATAAAATGTAAGCTGAGTCAGTTTCAAAGACTTGAAGCTTGGTTTCTGGAGGTTTTCTAAGTAGACACTTAAGTCTCTTAAGAGAATTTTCATTGACTTCCCTTTCTTTGGGGTGCTGTCCAAAGAAGTCTGGGTGAACTGCAAAGTAGAAAGGCCTCAAGGCATGGACCGCCTCTGCTCCCGACAAAGCTCGCAAGTAGTGGAAACCGTCCGGGTGGATCCGCCCCAGACAGAACCTCCTCAAAGGTCTCAGGTGGCGAAACATTTCTGAAAATGTGTGTATGTCAACTTCCAGGCATTCAACAATTGAGTTCTCGCCGGGTTCGGCAGAGGGCTTTCTCCGGGAGCGAGCTCAGGTCGCCGGGCCGCGCAAGAGCACATGCACTGGCAGCCGCAGGGCCTGCTTCCTCCCCTCGCTCCCCGCCCGGAACGGCGGCTGGCGCGCAAGTCTGCGGCCTGGGCCAGAGGGAGTGGGCTGGATACTTCTTTAAGACCCTACGTTCAATTCTTTTGAGTACATACCCAGAAATGCAATGGCTGAGACATATAGTAATTCTATTTTTGATTTATTTTTGGAGGACTCTCCATACTGTTTTTCATAGATTGCACTACTTTACATCCCACCAACAGTGTGCAAGGGTTTCAGTTTCTTCTCTTTGCCAAAGTTTATTATTATTACTATTTTTTTATAGTAGCCATCCTAACAAGTGTGAGGTGGTCATAGTAATGTTTTGAATAAAATGAAATGACTTCACCTCTCTGAGGGTCAGCTGCCCCACACACTAAATAAGAATGAAAGTGTGGCTGTTACTACCAGCACTACTAGAAATGCTATTGGCTGTGTAAGTGAATGAATGAATGTGTAGAGAATCACTGAAGACAGGGAAGCAGGAATGAGCTGAGACAGGAACGGTAAGGGGCCATCAAGGGGACATCCCAGGGGGAGAAGCATGAGCTTGACAAGTTGGAGAAACAGAAAGGGCAGAGCAGGCAGGAACTAAGAAAGAGAGGGGCCCAGCAGCAACAGCAGTGGCCTTGTGGGTGTCAGGCACCATCTGAACTCTATGGGGAAAGAGACACATAGGCTAAGCGACTGCCTGGGGCCACGTGGACAGTGAGTGGGGGCAGCTGGGACAGGACCCCAGACGGGCCAGCTTGAGTCTGTTCCTGGTAGCTTTGTGCTGCCTTTAAAAGTTGATTATTGGAGGTATAATTTATGTACTATAAAATTTCCCATTGTGTCGGTTCAATGATGTTTCCAGTAAATTGGTATAATCGTGTGATTGACTATCTCCATGACCTAGTTTTAGAGCATGGCTATCACCTCCAAAGATTCCTGCTGCCTGTCTGCAGTCAGGCCTGGTCCCCAGCATCAAGCAGCTGCTGTCCTGTTACCAGTTCTCTAGGAAGTTGTCTAGCAATTCCTATAAATGTGATTCCACAGTAGGTCTTTGTTCGTGTCTGACCCTGTTCACTTCTCAGGCGCCATGGAGACTCAGCCATGGTGCAGTGTGCATCAGCAGTTCACTTCTTTTTATTCCTCATTAGTATTCCATGCTATGCATGTACAACATCTGGTTTTTGGCTATTATGGATAATGCCACGACGAGCATTTGTATGTAAGGGAACACACACGTCTTCATTTCTCGTAGTTAGATCCCTAGGAGTAGAACTGGGAGTCATGCGGTAAGTGCGTGCTTAACTTTGAAAGAAATGGCCAAACTGGTTTGCACAGTGGTTGCGTCAGTGTACATCTCCACAGCAGTGCATGAGAGTTCCAGTTTCTCCAGCGTTTGGTACTCTGTCTCTTTGGTTATAGTATTTTAGATGGTATCTAGTGGCATCTTGTTTTGGTTTTAAGGGCCATTTTTCTGATGACCAATGATGTTGGACACTTTCCATGTATTTATTAGCCATTCATATATTGTCTTTGATGAAGCACCTGTTCAACTCTTTCATCAAGCTAGGTGAGGTGGTGCATGCCTGCATCCCAGGTACTTGGGAACCTGAGGCAAGAAGATCTCTTGAGTCCATGAGTTCGAGACCAGCCTGGGCAACAGAGTGAGACCTTGTCTTTAAAAAAAGTCTGTTACCCATTTATTTTACAAGTTAGATTTGTTCTCATATTATTGATTTGTTCTCATATTGTAAAAGTTCTTTATACATTATGGATACAAGTTTCTTTATTAGGTATATGATTAGTAAATATTATCTCTCAGTCTGTAGCTTGTCTTTTCAGCTTCTTTTTTTTTTTTTTTTGGTACCGGGGATCGAACTCAGGTCCTTGCGCTTGAGCAGCAGGCTGTGAAACCACTGAGCTAAATCCCCGGCCCTTCTTTTCAGTTTCTTAATAGTGTCTTTGGAAGAGAAAAATTTTAAGTTCTCAGCTTTTTCTTTTATGGGTTTCTTTTTATAGTATCAGCTTTTACATTTAGGACTATGATCTAACAAGATAATCTTTGTATACGGTGTGAGCTTAGGGCCTAAATTATCTTTTCTGCAAGTGTATTCATGGTTGTCCCATCTCCACTATAAAAATTC